ACCGTGCATTCCACCTGCGTTTCACTACTCGCTGAAGGCTCAGATGACGGTTAGCATTTTTTAGCAATGAAGTATTTTTAATTAAGGTACGTGCTTTTTAAAGACAATGCAATCGCACATTTAATACGCTGCAGTAGAGAGTAAACATAACTTATATGCACTGGGAAGCCAACAAATTTGTGTGGCTCTATTTATTTTCATATTCGCTTTATTGCAAAAATGGAACCCATAATATCTCTGAGGTCTGCCTGTAGTAACATCAGAGGTCTTTTCTCACAGATCACTGTAACAAACGTAATAATAACGAAAAAGTTCGAAATATTGAAAGAGTTACCAAAAACGTGACACAGAGAGACAGGGAGTTCACGATAATGCACAGTCGTTCTCCGAGACCACCTGACCCTGCAGGGACCACAAAGGTGAGGTGGATGGGGATGCGACAGGTAAGGCCACACCTGCACCTTTGAGATCCTTCGTGGCGGCACTAACCCCTGTAATCCCCCAGGACCGCAGTGTTGCTTTGAGTGTGCAGTCTTGGCAGGGAGGGGACATGGCTTCCACTGAACCCTTCCCACCACAGGTATCCCTATGAGAGGCAGTACGTGGATTCTTTATGTCTGGTCCAATCTGATGTCCAAGAACTGGGGAAAGGGCTGCAGGGTGGGTCTGTGGGCTGACTGGCCCCACAGTGACCCCTGCACATACCCCCCGACCACCATGAAAACCCCAGACTGGTGGCCCACTGTGGTGTCAGGGCATCCCCAGGACTTAGCATCCATTTAAAGCCAGTGTCTTTATGTGCCAGATGGGCTGGGGTGTTTCCTTTCCCCAGCGCAGCGTTACTTTGGTCAGCAGGTGCGGGGTCCTTTGGGGACGTGGGGATCACTGTGTGGTATCGCTTACAGCGATGCTCCCTGGTTCTCCCTCAATCACAGGGCCCAGGGAGTGGGAAAGACTGGGGGTTTGCAAGAAGCAGCCCAGGGGTGGTGGGGAGACTCATTAAGGAGCCCATCCCCCGCCAGCTGCATCCCCAGAGGAGAAAAGTGTAGCAGTAGAAAGGGAAGCCCCCTCCTCTGCGGACCGGGCAGCATCACCCCAGCACTGCACTGACGCCGTGTCAAGCTCGCTGGCAAAGGAGGAACATCCCCAGTTCTGGCTCCATCACCACGAGCCAGCCAAGGCAGTGGAGTCCCACAGAGGCCCTCACCAATGGCAAGACTAGTGCTCTGTGACTGCTAGGACCAGGTACAAAAGGCTGCTGTCCCCTGGGACTTGCCACCAAGTGAGAGGAGCCAGCTGCCCCTGGAGAGGCCTGCGTGGGGAGGGTCAGCACCACTGCCCGCTGGGTGGGTGCACAGACTTGTTAGGGGAGTTCCAGTCCCCCGTCGGCCGGGCCACACGGAGCAGGGATGAGCTTCCCTGTAGACTCCGCCTGCGTGCAGATCCACGAGCCAGATAAATGATGGGTGTCTTTTTAAGCCATTAAGTTTCAGGGTGAGGGGTTTGTTACGCAGCAGTAGTAACTGGAACAAAGGTAGGCACCTTGGGGAGGGTCTGCAGGGAATACTTCTCAGAATCCTTCACAGGGAACCCATCTTCCCCTCCGTTCAACCCTGGAACTGGACGAGAGGTCACCCTCCCTCCACTGAGGTGCTTCACATTGGATCTCTATTTGCCAGACGTGGGCTGTTTCTTCATGGTCAATTTCAGCTTTCTGAGACTGTCCGTTGTTTGCGGTTGGCGGGGGCCAAGGGTACCCCCAGCACTGTCCATCATAACGACCGCTTGGAGTTTGCTGCACTTTCCTGGAACCTGCCCACCTTATCTCTGGGCCAAGCCCTCCCAGTTCCCAGGAGAAATCAGAGGCCTTGTTTGGACAGCAGCAGCTCTACCCTCATTCCGGGCCTGCAGACCTTGGAGAGCTGTTCAAGGAGCCGAGGTCCTCACCCAGGGCTTTCTCCAGGCCTCTGTGCAGGGCGTGTGCTCGGGGACTCAACGAGGGGCAGGCTGCACCTGATACATTCATGTCTGGTCCTTATCTGCCCCAGCCCTTCAGGTTTCCTCTATATTAGACCAGGGAATTGCTGGCATCTCAGCCGGGCCATGTTAAGTCCAAGTTCCCAGGTACAAAGGATCTTCTTATAGACGAAAGCAAACAGTAGGGCCCGGAGTCTCAAGTGCCTGGGCCCTGTCCAGCTCGCCCAGTGTCGGCCGCATCACGCACCTGTGTGGTGAGGGTCAGCGATATCCTGGAGTCTTTGGGGTGTGATGGAGTTCTCACCTCCCTGGAGTCAGCTAGGATCTCACTGCAGCTATGGGTCTGGAGACAAGGAGGGGTCACAGGGTGAGGTCTTGAAGAGAAGCCGTGTCCCCTTAGCAGGCAACTGCTTTTGGTGGGGGCTTCACATGGTGGGGGGCCGCCTCAGACGGGGAGCAGGGTGGCTTCCACCAGAAGGCAAGGCTTAACAGGATTATGCAGGAGGCGTAGGGGTCAAGGTCAGTCCCCTGGGCCTTCTCCATCTGACTCTTTCACACTCAGTGCTCTGACCTGGTGAGGCTGAGAATTCAATTTACACTGTAATCTTACAACCCGCAGGATGAGACATGGGCAATGATTTCCAGCCACAACGTTCCCTCTGCAAGTACTCAGATTTCCTTTTACGGGGGTCCCGCCTCCCGCCTACTCTCCTAACTCTCCCTTGAACTGAGAATCTTAAGCCACTTGCTTGTCATTTTAAGAAATGAAATCTTCTCAGAGCAGTCGGGAACCCCCAGCCTGCCCCATGGTCCTGACTTCCCCCGGAATGTTGCCTTGCAGCTGCTTGGGCTCCCAGAACCCGGCTCTCATGGAATCCAGGCAATCATGGAAAAGCGTGTGGTTGCACCCCTCAGCCACTCAGATCCTGTTTTTCAGATTGTGTTAGTCTGCTCTGACTGTCGTGACAGGTTCCCCCAGGCTGGGCCACTTAGACAATAGAAACTTAGTGTCTCATGGTCTGAAGGCTGGAAGGCTGAAATCCCGGTGTTGGCAGGGCTGGCTCTCCGGAGCCTGTGAGGAAGAACCTGCCTCTCTCCCAGCTTCTGGTGGTTTGCCCGCAAGCCCTAGCACGTGGAAGTGTAATGAGCAGGACCCTGTGGGGCCTTCCCGAGACAGACCCCCCTGCCACGTCCTCTGCCCACCTCTTGTCTGTAGGAAAACTTTAGTCTCCTAGGCTTCCCGAGTTCCAAAGAGTACATTTCATCAGAGAAGTGAGAAAAGGCAGAGAGAAAGGAAAACAGTCAAGCAAGACAAAATGGTAACAGTTCAGCCACTAAACAAATTCGAGGGCATTTAGTTCCTTCTCAAGGCCTATAGATAATATTCTGAGCCATGTCCTTTGAGCTGTTTTGCAGACACTGAAACCCAAAGGGGTGGGGAGGAGTTAACTGTGTGCTGCCCACAAGCACAGAGACCCCAGACCGGCTGGAACCAGGAGGCTGATGATGTTGACTCCTGATGACCTCACCACCGACCAATCAGAAGCATGTCCACGATCTGATCACACAGCCCACACCCCCTCCCTTACCCTGTCTTTAAAATCCTTTCCCTGAAAGCCTTGAGGGAGCTGGGGCCTTCTGAGCGCCAGCCGCCTGGACTCCTTGCAGGGCGCCCTGCAATGAACGCTGCACTTCCCTTCACCACCACCTGGGCTTCAGTGCGCACCAGCAAGTGGACCCAAGTTTTATTTGGTAATGGAAGCATCATGTGGCCTCTGCCTCCATCGTGGCCATCCCTGTGTGGGTGTCTGTGTCCAAATTTCCCCTTTTCATAAAGACAATAGTCACGTTGGATCAGAGCCCACACCTCTGTAAAGACCCTCCCGCAAGTGAGGGCACATTCTGAGGAACTGGGGGGGTGTGTGTCAGGACTCCAGCATCCGGGCATTTCAAGCAGGAAAGTGTTGATTACAGAGATTCAGCACTTCAAACCCTCGGACAGGTTCCAGGAATGAAGGTCATGGTCCTGTCACTGGGTCTTGGGGGCGCGCGAGCTTTCAGAGACTCGGGTTTGCAGGAGACGCTTGGCGACGGTGACCCCCGCCTCCACCTGCGCACTCGCAAGGGCCCCAGTCGGCCGCCTCCTCCACTGTCCACACCTTGGAACACTTCCTACCAGAGGAAATTAACCTAGCGTCTGATGGGAGTTAGCCCTGGAGTCCCAGGGAGGGCGACGACGGGTGGCCCTTACCTGACGTGCACACGGGGGCACGCTGACTGCGTGCAAGGGCGGCCGCTGGTGTGCGCACAGGAGGCGCGCGAGGAGCACGTGGCGGGAACTGAACCTCCACCAACGCGGGCCACGGTGGTGACCAGCATGGAAAGCCATCCGGGACCCCGCTGCCCCTCACTGCTGCTGTCCACCTCCTCCGTCCACCGCTCGGCCGTGGCCTCCGCAGGGCGCCCACCTTCCCAGGCCTCCAGGACCTCACGCCCAGACGAGGGTGCTGATTGGCTTCCACCCGGGCCAATCAGCTGTGGCCGTGAGGGTTAAGGAGGCTGATTGGCTGAGCCCGGGCATCGGGCACGCACCTGAGCCAATCCTCAGAGGGGAGGGCGGGCGCTCGCGGGTGGAGTGGCGGGAATGTCCTCCCAAACTGGCACTTTCTGGGGCCACAAGCCACCGGGGTACTGGGACCAGCCGCTGGTGGGCACGTGGGCTGTGCCGATGCCTGGTCGGGGTTCAGGGTGGGGGGCCGGCCATGGGTACACGTGCGGCGTGTTAAGAGCTGTCAGGGCCCTGGTCAGGGGTCCTGAGAGTCAGGGGTCCTGGGGGTCCGACCAAGGGGGTGGTGACAGAGGGGCAGAGAAGGTGGGGTGAGCCAAGGAACATTCTGGAAGAAGTCAGGGGACTCCAGGCCAAGTTCCAGGCGTTGGGTGTGAGCCTAGGAAATGGTGCTGAAGACACTGAGGACCCGCTGCGTGGATGCTACCTGGGCACCGCGGCTGGGGCAGCCCCGGGTGCGGGTCGCTGGGAACCCCCAGGGCGGGCATCCGGGCTGGGGGACGTCGTGGCGAGGGGGGGCGCTCAGACAGGCCGGTAAGGGAGGGGCTGTGGAGCGACGGGGGTACGGAGGCCCTGGGGGGTAAGGCCCTGCCGCCTGGTGACTCAGGTGAGTGGAGACGCTGGGTCAAAAGTTGAAACACATCTTTCGGAGGCTTGAGAGCAGAAGAGATGCGAGGCCACGGGGAGGGGCGCAGGGTCGCAGGGGTGACCACCTTCCTGGACGCTTAGCCGAGCTACGGTCGCGCAACCGCGAGCCCCGCGGCGGTCACGAGGTGGCGCTGCAGGACAGCCTGGCAGCCGCGCAACAGTGTCAGGGCCTGGGATGTGAGCCGGCTCGGCGCGGGGGCGGTACTGGTTCCGGCACCCCGGCACCCCCTCACCCAGCACCCCACATCCAGCACCGGCCCCAGCACACTGGCCACCTGGTACCCCAACATCCCAGCACCCTGCACCAACAGGCAGTGACCCCCTAGGAGGCAGTGGGTCCAAGAAGACCCGGTGGAGTGGAGGAGGACCTGCAGGGGTCTGCCCTGGCTGGGAGAAGTCATCCGTCTGTCCAGCCCTTCCCTCACGCCCTCATCCGCCCATCTACCACCACCTGCTTCTTGAGCACCTGCCTGCCTGCTCTGGGTGCTGGGGTCACTGCTGCCTTGGGGTCTGCACGTGGCAGAGATCACAAGGTAACGCAGTGTTGTGATGCAGGTGGTGGGACATTGGATCAGGGAGGGCTTCCTTGAGGAAGAGGCATCCGATCTCAGGAGCTCTCCAGGCAGGGACAGTGAGCGGACTGCGTGGGGCGGGAGGAGGGGACAGGTGGGCATGTGGGGCAGGCACAGGGCCGTGCTTCTGATCCCAGAGGCTGCTGGCCCCAACCTGGGAGGGTGGTCTAACCTGGATTTAAAGGTGGCTCCAGCTGCTCCCAGTTGAGAGGAGGCGTCATGGTGGCAGGTGAGGGGCCGTCCCGGTGGGAGCAGTGGGGGCAGGGCCAGCTGACTGGAGGCAGGGCCGTGAGGGGAGGGGTGTCGGGCTGGGTAGTCCACGTGGGGTCTGCCTTGTGTTGGTTGAACTTGCTGGTGGCTGTCACCTTCCCTGTGGAGCTGGGGTCACTGGCTCCCCAGGCCACAGAGGTGGGTGTCCTGCGCGTGGCTGGGCTCCCCCTGCTGGCAGAGCACAGTGGGCACCGATGACAAGCTAGGGGTGGGCCCCCCACCCGTCCCTCTGCACCCCTAATCCCTCCCCACAGCTGGGGAGCCTCTCTGGGAGCCCCCAGTCTTGTTTCCTGCAGGAGAGGCTCCACCAGCGGGCTCTGCTGGCCCAGAACCTGTGCCCCCAGATTTCAGCCCCACACTTGGGGTGGGGGCTCGTCCCCTCAGCTTCTCGCTGCAGCCTCTCCTCTGGCACGTGTGGCAGCACCTGGGTCAGGGGCTGGCTGCCCCACCTGGGTTCCCGATGCTCAGCTGCTTGTCCAGCTGCACACTTCCAGGGCCCTGCGGGCCTGGGGCTGAGGCTTCCTGTGCCGCGCACCTCTCCCTCCATGGCTGCATGTCAGCCACCAGGGCTGGGGGGCTCAGGATGTGCCTGCTGCCTGGGGAGGGGGGTGGGGACATGAAGCCAGGGAAAGGCCAGGCCCCACCAGTGCAGGCAAAGGAGACCTTCACCCCAAGACACAGGTCCAGGGGCTGCAGTCAGCCTCTTAGGGAGCCTTCCAGCTGGGGGTGCCGGGGAGCGATGGGCGGAATTCCACAAGGATCGCTGAAGCCAGTTAGCTCTGGGGCTGCCAGCAGAGCCCAATTTCAACTCTCCCGCAGCCCATCCTTACCCTGGAGGCCGGGCCCCCTGCCAGGACCACCGGGCTCACAGGGGCCTCTGCCCTCCCCTCCGGGACTGGGCCTCCCATCCCGTCCCCGCTTGCTCTGGTCCCTCGATCAGGGGCGGGGAGCCACCTCCTCTGCCTGCCCTGCTCCCCAGCACCACTGTCCTCTCTGGCCGTGGTCTGCCTCGCACATGGCAGGGGCTGCTCAGACGTGCCCCACCCCGAGGCAGTGCTGGGGTGGGGGCGGGGCTCAGACTTCAGCCTGAGGGTAGGGGACACAACTGGGCCCGTCCCAGCAGCCATCCTTCTGGCCCCCGCTCCCCCTCGCCTGTCCTGGTGCTGCCCCGTCTTCGCATGAGGCACCAGCTACTCTTCAGGCCGCGTGGGCCCTCAGCCAGCTTGCGACTGAAGGGCTCTGAGAGGCCGTCCCCTCCACCCCTTCCCCCCATCCCAGAGGGGCGCCTGCTGGGGCCCTGGCCTTTGCCTGTGTCACCCCCAACACCACCGGTCCCACGCTGAGACTGGCCCCGCCGCCGCCCCTCTCTGCACGCGGGGCTCCCCCGGGTGAGCACATCTTTGCCCCTCCCTCCCACCGAAGCGCAGAGCCAGCGCTGAGGGGAAGACAAGCGTCTCAGGGGACCCCAGGCTGAAGCTGCTGACCCGGGAGGGGCCTTCCTGGTTCCAGGCGACACGCGGAGCAGAGCCTGGCGGAGGGTGGCCCACCTCCCCCCGGCCGCGAGGT